GACTGCGAAGGCGGGTGACTGGACCATCCCGCTTGCACACGTGGTTGTGCGCTGCATCCTGCCACTCCAATGCATGCAGATTTGTTGGATTGGCCGTGTCCATTTCAGGCCCTTGCATCCTTGTGGATGGAACCTCGCGGGGCCAACAAAAGCAGGCACTCCTCGATTCAGGCGCTCAAGCAGCCCCTGTAACCTGATGATGACCTCGGCGAATTGCGTACGCGCACGAGGTCCAACAGCTACTGGCCACGTCTGGACGACACAGGGCGTGCCCTACGTCGCCCCCACGCCACCAACGTAGCACTGTGTTTTCCCCAAGACCGCACGCCGCACCCATGCAGCGCTGGCCGCAGGGCTAGTGGGCCATATATGGCTCAAAAGCCAGCGCAAAACCTTGCATATGGATCAGTCTGGCTCCCCCCAATGGTGAACAGGAAGTAGTAGTCAACGCTGGTGCCTGGCCGTGTCCTTGCCAGCGACGAGCATCGCCCCATAAATCAGGGGCCAGCACGGGCTTTCGGCATTGTCTGTCTGTCATAGTTTCATATAGCCCTACACGTTTGCTTCTCAGCTGTCGTGCACTGCTATAGGCCCAATAACAGAGGTTCTCAGGTTCACTTGACCGCTCGCCGCACAAGATCTTCGGAATTCCTCGACCAGGGGTGCTCAGTTAGGAATTTTGGCGTAAGAGATCTTCAAATCACAAGGTGTGGGGCGATTCCACCCGCGCCTGACCCAGCCAAATCGGTGGCTGCCACCCTCGACCGCCGACTTAACAGGCAGCTGCGATGATCACACGCAAATTATGGTCATTTAGCTTCCGGACGAGCTCGCGGCTGCGCAACTCAGGCCATCAGCCCAAAATATCGCCCCTCGACTGCTGCCGTTCCCGATATGACTCAAACGACAGGGTTAAGCGCGGAAATCATGTGCAGAACAGTTCTTCTCGCGTTGGCGTGCCTTCTGCTCCCTGGTGAGCGGCCGACCAGCCACCCCCACCCGCAAAGGCGGCTGGGCAAAGCGCACTTGTTGGCAGCGGCCGGCGCAAGTTTTGCTGTTGACCACGATCACAACCTGCACCGCATGCCTTCTGCAGTGGTGGTGGTGGATTTTCCAGTCGACAATCCGCGCGCAACGCATCAAAAAAATCTCGACATCACGCGCGTTCCTCCGCCCTTTGGGTCTGTCGCGCCTGCCCCAGGTGCCAGCGCGGCGCGCCTGCTGGGCGCCGTCGGGTCGGCCTTGTCCCATGTCGAGGTGGCTGCGAGCCGCGGCCTCAAGCAGGTCACCGACAGCTTTGTCACGCAGGGCGGCAACCCGTACAGGAACCCGGTGCAGATCTACGCCCACGCCCGCGAGGTGTGAGCCTGGCGCCTGGTGCATGTCGCCTGGATTGCACTCTGCGAGACGCGCTTCGCCGTCCACGCCCCCTGGCCCGCGCGCCTTGCCCTCCCGCTGTTCATGCACGTGTCCAGACACCATGTAAGCGCTGAGCTTTCGAAGCTTCCCTCTGACCCCTGCTGCCCAATGCGCCTGCCTGCCTCGCCCGCACACCGCCCCCCAACTCTGCCGATGAACCTTCAAACCCTTCGCTAGGCCGAGGCCTGGTCCCATGCGCGCTCCATGGGGATCTACGAGAACCAGGGCGCCACCGTGGTCACGGCAGGCGACACGTACCCCAGCGGCCGCAGCCAGGCGGTCTCCCAGAACGGCCAGGACAACTCTCGGCGCAGCTTCGCCCTGTCCGACGGCGGGTACGCCCCCCAAAACCAGATCACGCTCTTCGGCCCCACCGCCATCGCCACCACACAGCAGGGCTACAGGGCCATGTCTGCGGTGAGCGCGCTGCAGGCGCCGGGAGCTGGTCATCACCGAGGCAGTGTGGCATGCGAGGGCGCCAGCTGCCGTTGCGGGTTTGGTTTGCTTAGTATTTCGACCTGGGGCCACACATGTCCACCCTCTTGCACCGCCTGGTCTACGGACAAACGACCGCCTCCTTACTACTCATGCAAACAATACTTCTCTCTCGGCCATGTGTGTGTATGTGTCACTCCAACCTGCAGGTCAACGGGATGCCGATGCTCCGCAGCACCACGCCCAGCAGCGACTACTCCACCTCCTCAGCTTCCTCCACCTTCCGCTGGCGCCCGATCGAGGCCCGGCAGGGCTTCGGCAGGGAGCGGCTCGTTTTCTTGGACAGCCTGGGGTTCACAGAGCAGGGCCCGCTTTCCAATGGAATCTCTGAGACGGGCGGCGGCCCCACTGCGGTTGCGCAGGCCGGCGAGGCGGTCGCCATGTCCCAGGCCGACACCCCAGAGAACGAGCGCTACGGGCGCCGCCGCCTGCGCGCGTGAGCGCGAGCAAGCAGGGCTCCTCCGCGACGGGGCAGTGGCGGCGGGCCGGGGTGAAGTCAGAGAAGAGAAACCGATGCCGAGCGCAGCTGTCAGGCGCAGCAAATTGAGTAGTTGGACCGCGCGTTTGATTCCTCCGATGGGGCCCTTGAGCGTGGCTGGGCCCCCGTGAGCCCATAGGCCGCTCTTGAGCGCTCCCTCATCGCATCGTACCGCTCACAAAAAACAGTCGTTGATGCGGCCGGCGGCCGAGCCCTTGCGCCCTCTCCGCACCTGCGCGGCGAGGAGGCATGCATTTCATGGACAGGCGCCCCCCCCCAGCACACCTTTTGGCCCCCCTGGCACTGTTGTTCATCCTGTTTCCACCCGCCGGATTTTTTGCCGTTTCGTTGTGCCCCAGCAATCTTTGGGTGCTCTGCTGGACTGGAAGTTGGTACAGCTTGTGCCTGTCGTGTACATGGACGCACACGAGGCAGGGTTCACTGGGAGGCACCCTTTTTCATACATGGCCCCACTGGGCAGATCTGCTGCCTTGTCGCCGCAACTGCTGTGCGCCGGCCCATGAGCAGCCCTCTCAGAGAGAGATTTGGGAGGAGATATTCACAGCGCACAGCGCTGCCTTCGCGCACCTTGCGGCCACGATGGGGCCACCTTTGGCATACGCCACCTTTTGGCATAGTGGCCGCTGCGCCTGTTTCGTCCGTCCCGGAGAACTGGCCTGCTCCACCAACCGATCCTCGACGCCCGCCCTAATGCGACCCTGAAGCTGGGCGCCTCGGCCTTGCATGCGCAGCCGCCTCAGCCCGCGGCGTCGAGCGCGGCTGGCCCAGCACTTGTGTTGTTATAAATTCTTTGAGAAGTGCGAGTGGGCCTGTGCATGCGCCGCCCAGTTGCCGCTCGCGTCCATGACTAACCGCCCCGCGTGCGGTTCACTAGGGCTTTTCCACGGGCTGTTCCGTGGCGCTCCCCCCCTTGACCTTCAGATTCCCTACTGCTGCAACATAACCCAGTCTACTGATCCCCATCCAAAGTGATGGCAAAATCGATGCCTGCGTGTCTTTTGTGTACTGCACAGAGCCTCACACCTTGTGTGATTCGCGTTTTTTGGCCGCCTGAGTTGGTGCTGTTCCAGCCAGTGCCTTGAGCACACCTTTTGATCACTTTCGGTGGGCTTGAGACAAGTCTCGTTGCGAGGGTGCGAAATGTGCCCAGGCTGCCCAAACCTGCAGGCGCAGAGACTGAGTGGAGATTGCCCGAAGACGAGTGTCAAATCTTGCAATTACAAACTGTCGTCTCAATCTTGTGGCATCGGGCATCGGGCATCGCCGGCAAGGCAGTGTCTCATAGGATGGCAACCCAATCACATGCGCATGAGCCGCTCGACATTGTAACAGTTGCGAAACAGCCCTGTACCTGACTGCCGAGGGCTGCCCCTCCATAGCCTTTCTAATTTGCATGGGGTGCTGGCAGGAGGTGACTACATGCTGACGGTCCATGATAGTGACTGAAGCTTGCATACATGGTGCGTCTGTGCCTTTTTTTGAGGCCAAGTTGACATAATGCGCATGCACGCAGCACACCGCGCACCTCAGACAACCACTGCAAACAGTGTCAGACCGTACAGCTCAGCCCATGGCTGCACATACGAGCGCGCCCATGTGTAGACAGTCGTGCATTGCGACCAGTCGCATACACAAGCGCGCTGGTTTGCAGCTTTGAAGTGTTCCCATCCCCCCAGGTCACATAATGTCATTATCTGCGGAATTTGTGGACTGAACGCGCCAGCGCAGACGGCACCTCAGCCAGCCATGCAGCCGCTGACAGCATTGGCAGAGCCGGTGCCCTGAGCAATTACTTCTCCCTCTCCCGTCATGCCACGCCACAGCTGAGCCCGTCCGATGCCTTGCGGGTGACGTGGGAATTTGATGGATAGGCCGGCCACTGCCGACGGCGCTGCTGACCGGGCACGATGGCCTGCCCCGCGCCGTGCCTGTGGGTGAGCTGCGTCTCGCCCCGCCCCCCCCCACCCCCCAGCCAGCTGGGTGCGAGCCCGTGCACCACCCCATGAGGCGGCCGGCCGCTTCCAGGCTGCCCCGCGCGATATGACAGCACCAGGCAGTTTTGCCATCAAAAGCGGTCGTTGAAAAATCCGCAATCGTGCCTGCTTGTGTCTGCTGTGCTGGCGGCAACTCTCCGACTCACCCTGAACTCACCCGAGCGAGTCCCCTGGGATGGACGCGCAGTTGCTCAACCATGCCAAGCGGCGCATCATGCCCCGGTGCTGCTGCAGCTGGCACTGGCAGGCCCGGCCGCGCAGGAGCGTCGGCTTGCGACGCCAGCACGCCTCCACACCGTCGAATGCAGGTCGAATGTGGGTCGAATGCACACACGATGCACACCCCACCAGGGTCAGCGGATGAGCACGATATGCCAACTACAAAAAAAAAATAGCTGACCGCACTTGTTGCCTACTACATTCACGCCCTCTACTGAAGTCAGCGCTCACGAGATCAAGATCCACGCAGGGTGGTGGATAAAAAAGTTGTCCGCAAACATTCGTCGCGCTGATCATCCATATACCAAGTATCACGCGGCGACGTGTCCCATAGCTCTTCACCAACCAACACCAGCTTCACGCGTCTGATCCCGCATGCAGCCACCTCCGGGATATAACTTTGGCCCGCCACCTCCACGGGGGCCGGCCCCAGGTCAGCCTCTGCAGGGCCCCGGATCGTCAGGCGCGCCTGGTGCATACAGCGCAGGGTACCCGCCGCCCCCGTCGCCGCACCAGCATTCACCGCTTCGGCAAGGGTACCCCCAACAGCAGCCGCAGCAGCCGCAGCAGCAGCAGAGCCTGCCGCAGTCATACGGGAGCTATGGCCAGCCGCAGGCACAGCAGTCTTACGGGCTACCAGGGAGCTACGGGTCGCTGTCGGGCAGCGGGGGCGGGTACCCCGGTGGCATGCCGCAGCAGCAGCAGCAGCAGCAGCAGCCCTACATGCCCGGCGCGCAGCAGCAGCAACAGCAGCAGCAGTATGGTCAGTACGGCCCAACGTCTGGCCACACACAGTTTCAAATGCCCTTCCCTCAAGGGCCGAGCAGCCAGGTGCGCTTTCGCCAGGGCACCCCAATACGGCCCCCGGCGCCGAAGCGCTCGGCCTGATTGCAGCAGCGCCCGAGCCGGCAAACACTGGCGCAACGCTGAAAATTCTCAGCTGTATGCAGCAGTGGCGTTGCGGGCCGCGATTGTTGCCTTGCTCTGTCACGCGCCGCTGCCGCAGTGCCATCCGGCGGTGGGGCGGCACGCGCTGACTCCCTCACCCTCGGCCTCTTGACCCGCGCTGCGATGGTGTCGGCTCAGGGGCCGTCAAGCATGATGGGGGGCGGCGACGCCGGCGGGTTCATGTCTGGCATTTCCCCCTTGGGCCTCATGGCGGCAGGTGCGGTGGTGGGCGGGGACCAACTCGCAATGCACACCCCCAGGGGTCTTCCGCGGGCGGCGCTGCCGAGGGTTCCAGCACGCGCGCCTGTCCGCCGCCCCTCGTGTCCTTGATTTGCGGCTGCTTCGGCTGCAGCAGCCCGGCTTGCAGTCCCACTCCCGCATCCCGAAGCGTCCGCAACAGCAACGTATCCTGAGTCTGGCACGAGTGGATCTCAACTCTGCCCCCTCCCCCCCTCAATCACGCCAATCCCCGCTTGCTGCCAGGTGGCCTGCTGTCTGCCCCCCAGCAGTACGTGCAGCAGCGCATGGGGTGGCTCAAAACCAACATGACCGGCGGCACCATGAGCGCGCTGTTCAACATCACGCCGTCTTACGGTGCGCGGCGGGGGCCGCGGGGGAGGGGGGCCAGGTGGCGCAGGGGCAGCCCGTGCAGGGCAGCCGCTGCCTTGCCTGTTCTGTGTGCGGGCACGTAGGCGTACGTGTGGCCGCGAGCATGAGCGCGAGCGCGCGCGCACACACACGTGCACATTCGCGTGTGCGTTTAGAAACGAGCGACAGCAAGCGTTGGTTATCACCACACCTGCTGTGTGCAGCTGCCCTGCTGCAGGGGTTCCGTTGTGCTGCAGCGCCTGCCTGCCTGCCTGCCGCCCGCCGCCACTTATTTCACGTTGCTGCGCTGTGCCGCCTAGGTAGTGAGACCCCAACCCTCGCCCCGGCCCTCGAACCCCAGTCAGCAGCAAGGTGCTGATGCTGCTGGCGCCGTTCCTAGGAAGGTGGACCTACACGCGCGCCAACGAGCAGGTGCGCGCCGCACTCAACGCCGTGCGCTCGTAACACGGCTCCCTGCAACAACCCCGACGCCCCGCACCCGCCGTCGCCCTCACGCATCCTTCCCTCGCGCCGCCCTCGGAGCCACGTGCTCACCATCGAACCTGCTTGTCCCCCCCCTCGCTCGCCCGCAACCGCGTCCCCGCAAACCTCGTATTGCCAGATTGCGGGCGGGCAGAAATACCGGCCCCCCGCCGCGGACGTCAACGCGCCGGACCTGTTTGTGCCGCTGATGGCGGCGTGGACCTACGCGCTGCTCAACTGTGTGCTGCTCGCGCTGAGGGGCAAGTTCAGGCCGGAGGCCATGAGCAACATGGTGGGGAGCCGGGGGCCGGGCGCTCGGGGCTGGGCAGGCGGCCGCGCTGGGCCGCGGGGCCGGTTGCCCGCGCTGCTCTGGCGGCTGCGACGGAGGGAGGAGGCAGCGGGCGCGCGGCTCGTCGTGCTGCGGCAGGAGGCCCGGCTTGGATCGCTGCTCGGCGGGCTGCCTGACGGCTGGGGCGCCACCTTTGGGCATGCCCTTCTCTGCCCTTCATCACATCTGCACTTCACTTCCACCCCCCATACAACCCGCGCGGCCGACAGGTGTATGGGACGTGCGTGGCCTGGGGCGTGCACTGGGTGGCGGCGTGGCTTGTCCTGCGGGCGATGTCGGTGCCGGGCGTGCCGTGGAGCGAGCTGCTGGCTTACACGGGGTACCCCTTCGTGTCGGTCTGCATCAGCGTGGCGGCGCAGCAGCTCGGAGGTGGGGCCGCGGCTGGGGGCGGGGCGGGGCGCGACGGCAGCCGCAGCCGAGCAATGAGCTTTTGGGCGCCTGCCCCTGTTGCATACGGTAATCTCTTGCAGGCAGCTGAGCCGACTTTGCGTGCAGCGAGCATCTGGATGCACATTGCGTGTGTTTCTTTTGCTTGATAGGGGAATGGGCTGGCCCCGATGGCTCCCACTGCCCCCTGCTCGCCCCGTGCGCCCTGTCAGGTCGCGCGGCGTACTACGCGGCGTGGGGGTACGGCAGCCTGTGCATGGGCGTGTTCATGGTGCGCACCATGAAGCGCGTCATCTTCCAGGAGACGCGGCAGTACGGTGAGCCGGGGGCACCTGGGGGCAGCCGCCGCGGTACAGCTGCGTCAGCAGGGAGCGTCACGGCGATACACAGGGTGTGCGGCGCATCGCTGCCTTCGTTAGGGGGCAGCGGGAAAGGGGGTTACCCCGCGGCGTGGCTTGCGGCCCTGCAGGTGGCGGCGGCATTTGTTTCAACGGCAACTATGCTGAGCGTGCTTGGGCAGGCGCGGCAGGTGCCACCGCACTGCCGGCCCTGCCCGGGGGCCCCTAAGCCCAGGGCAGCCGCGGCGCGACCTCCTCTCCACTCACACTCGCATGCAACCCTCTCGCTCAAAACCCCTTGCTCTCTGGGCGGCCAACAACCCGCGCGGCCTCTTGTCACCCAGGCAACGACATGAAGGTCACAAACTACCTGTTGTTGGCGCTGGCCGGCTTCCAATTCCCCTGGGCTTGGTGGCTAGGCCTCGCGCCGCGGGGTTGACTCACCAGGGCCTGGCGCCACCCGCGACGGCTCAGCTGCGCGCCCACTGGGCGCCTCAGCACCCCTCCCACGCCCGCGGGCAGTTGAGGTCATCCGCCTCGTATGCAGGGGCCATGTGGGTCGTGTGTCAACGGCGAACCCATCTTTTGCCGGTCCTCGTCTCGAATTCTGAGAGCCGGCTGCTCATGAGAACTGGCCTTGGCATCTCTGTAACGTTAAAGAATGGTTACCCTGGGAATGGAAAAGGTCGCGGCACCAGACTCGCGGGCGCGCTGTGGGATGACGGGTGCGGCGCTGTCTGGAGCCAGCAGTGCGTTTTGGGGTGCGGGTTGCCAGTGTGCGTGGTGGTTGCGTGCCAGGTATTGTGTACTGTACACACTGTAATTGCTGGCTGGCCCAGCCAGGGGCCACTGGGGAAAAACGAGGTATGGGTGCGCCCAAATGCGCGCCGTCAGACGTGGCAAATCTGACACAATTCGAGCGGCGCCCGTGCAGGTGCAGGGGCGCGGCTGGACAAACACGAGTCAGCTCAAGGGTTCCCCACTCTGAGGACCCCGCAGTCACATTTCGTCCGGAAAGCAGCTTCAGGCATGTTTCGTGGCAGGGCGGCCGCCTGTCCGCACCGGTAGCTAACGCACACGCACACACAAACCCCACCAACTGTGCCAGTCGGGAAAGCAGTCATCAACAGCATCAACACCATAATCTGGGCCCACGGCTGCGCACCCCAGGAGCCCGCATTTGAAAACGTGGGGAGAGCCGCACGAGAGTAAAGAGCATTATGCTACATACAAAAACGGCCGCGGCGACTGCATTGCAAAACCGGCGCCGCGGCGGCGGTGCTGAGGATTCGACTTTGTTGGACGTGCGCACGCGCGCTCGTGTGAAACAGGTACGAGCGCGTCTCTCGAGCTGCCTCGATGGGCGGGCGTCCAGGCAGACGCCCCTGCGCGAGGAAGTGATGTTTGATGAGCGTGCAAGGCGGAGGCTCAAGCGCGCGGGTGGCAGCAGAGCCGCCCGCAAACAGCAGGCAAGTTGGTCGAGACCTCCTGAGCCTGGTGTGCAATGCAATGCCAAACGGCCCGCAGCGGTGTGCTGGCCTCCATTGCACGAGTCAGGGTGGGCAGGGTCGTGCAGGGGCGCCCGGCCCCGCCTCTGTTTTGGGGCCCTGCAGTGGCCCCCCGGTGGGAGCTGTGCGTTTGCTTCTTTTTCAGAGCGTCAGGCCTGCGGCAAAACACAGGATTCCTTTGGGGGCGGCCGCGCGCGCCCCTAGCAGGTGCGACGACCGCCGCCGAGCCGCCGCCTCGCTCGTCTATTTTTTAAGCCTGTTTCTCTCCTCCTCTGGGTCGTGCGCAGCCACCGGCCGACTTGGCACCGCGGGGCGCGCGCCCGCCCCCCGCGCGCGCCCGCAGGGACTGCGCGGCGCGGGGGGCGGATCGCCCCGACCTGCAGGCCAGGGGCGTCTCACTCCCTAGAACGGTTGTACAATGCGCAGCAGGCTTGGGGCCTGTGGCGCCAGCCCGCGCCCAGGGGCCGTCGCCGCACGGAAGATATTTGTCTTGCCCTGTTCACAGCGCGTGGGCCTCCACTAGGGCGCGCAGCTTCTCGATCTTCGCGCCTGTCATCTCCCCGACCTTGACGCCCCGGTGGTATATGTGGAAGGTGGGCAGCGCCTTGATGCCCTGCGCGATCGCAAACTTCTTGTCGTGGGCGCCGCCTGGGGTTTTGTTTTTTGGGGGGGGAGAGGGTGCGGTGTTTGAGCGTGCGGGAGGCGGGCGGGCGAGGGGATGGCTGGGCGATGGGGGGGCGGCGCCAGTTTGGGGTGGGGGGCTGTGCCGGGGCCTGTGCTGCATCCTTGGACACCTTTTGCTGGTGCAGCCGGCTTGGGCTGCCCCATGCGCCTGCGATGGGGGCGCCCCGACTGACAAGCACCCGCGCCAGCCTGCTGGGCCTTAAATGAAACCTCCATAGGGATGTTTCCCGGCGCGCTCACAGTCGATCTTGGTCATCAGGATGCGGCCC